ACACACACACACACACACACACACCTGCAGCCTCCAGTCGCTGCTGACGCTCGTGCAGAACAAACGCCGTCACCCTGCGCTGTCACCCAAAGTGACAACAGCAGGGTGACGCACCCCGCGCGCATACATTAAACCTCGAGACGCTCGCCGTTCCACTCGCCGCGCTCACGTCTGATTGCTCACATTCTCGTAATGACACGCTCCGTCTCATCGCTCACACGCTGCGCTGCACCTGACACAGAAGCGTCACGTGTAGGTCGGTCGACACCGTCGCAGATCGGGGCCGTGGCGATTCGCGGTCTCGGCCGAGCGACAGGAACTGAAAATCACCTCCACTCGCGGTTTTACCGTTGAGCGGTGACGAAACACCAAACGTGGGCGAGTTTATTTGAGGAGCCGCTCAGCGGCCTCAGCTCTGGTGGCCTTCTTGAAGTAAGCGAGCGTAAGCGCCCGCTGTCCAAACAGTGAATTATCTTCGGCGTGGTTTAGTGGCGACACGCTGCCGGAGAGGCTGCTCGCTGAAGAGTGCCGCCGGCAGCAATTAAGAGCACCTAATCACTGCAAGGAACATCCCTGAGGGAGGCCCGTCCCGGCGCTCGCACGGCACACGCTGGCGCAGAAGAAAAAGGATCCTTCAGTGGTGCTGACGATCGTTTGTTCTGGTAAACAGCAGCGATTACAGCCACGTTTCGTCCAGCTTATCTAAACCAATTAGGACGATTTTTTGCCTTTGAAGTTTGCTCTCTGCAGCTGTAGTCTCCATGAATTTAAAGCCATTACAGTGGATTACAAAGGCTCTCCTGCAGCTTAATCCACTCTCCAGCTACTGTATATGCTTAGCTTGTTAACAACACACAAAGGGCAGCACGTGGCTGAATAAGGCTACATGCTCGCCTCCATCTGACACCGCCGTGCTTCTTATGTTTCATCTTCAGTATTTAATAGTCTTTCAAACTGAGATACAACATTTGGAAAGACGTCCGAGAGCGTCAGTGATCCCGCTGCGTAGCAGCAACGAGCTCTGCTGCTTCTCCAAAGCAAACCAATCTCTGCACATGTGTGCGTTTCCTTCATGAAAACAACGTGCAGTTAAACATTTATTTATTTAACGTTATTCTACACACACGTGTCCCAGTAACGCTGATGCTTTTACATCAAACAGTGCAAACTGCAGCGTGCATGCTTGGGTTGCAGCAGAAGCAAACAGAGCTCAGCGGTAACTCCAGCCCCAGTGAGGGCTACAGCCTTTCTTCTGGGTTCATCAGACACTTGCAGTTAGGTGAGGTTACCTGCAGGAGCATTTCCACAGCACGCCTGATCCTTACTGAGCACCTAAACCAAAGCAGACTGCACGGAAATGTCAAAGGGAACAGCAAGTGTACATGAAGACAACCTAGGAATGCAAAGCTTCCAGATGGGACATGAACTGTGGTCAAAAATCAAACAGTCACCCCTCAAGGACATTAGCTTCATCCTAAAGAGAACTGCTAGTTCTTTGCAGTTTGCACTAAACGGTTCTTACAGAGCTTTTCTACATGTGTCAACCTGCCATCCACACACTGATGTATGGGATCACATTCACTGCATTGCTTGAAGATACTTTGGCATGCACGCTGGCTCAAACCACCAACCCTCTGATTGGCCACCTCGGCCACCAATGGAATGAGAATAAGTTCTGCTTCAGTTCGAGCAATGCAACATTTTGTACTTGGAGCATGTTTTAATGTTTTCACTTTGTTCTGTTGCCTGTTAAAGAAAACCTGAAGCCAGTTTCTGCATTAGCTTCAGTTAGCAACAAGCTAACTACTCACATATGGTTGATGAACGGATGGAGTCGACCTATTTCCCTTCCTGCCTCCACCTGGGTTTATTTGGGTTGGACTCTGGTTCATTTGGACCTGTCCGTCTGGTTCCTGCTGGATTCCTCAGCTGGCACGTTTATGCAGCTAATCTGCTCATCTCCTCTGCAGAGAGTTTACTCTCCACCTGTCTGTCAGCGGGCCTTTGCTGGACCCCACCTGCCACTCATTTCTCCATCTTCCTCCTCACCCTGGGATTTCTACCGAGCCATCTTTTCTGCAAATATGGTTTAATGAAGCCTTTACCTCGGTGTCCATGTCTGCTGCTCTGGAGTCTTTGGAAATCCTGACAGCTGGACTTCACGTGCTGTGAGGAAAAGTCCATCTCAAGCTAACAGTGAGATGTTTCAGGTACTGAAGGCGCTGCAGTAAAAGTCTGCAGAGCATCTCAAGGAGGAAACCCAGCATCTGCTGATGTCCACGAGTTCTTCATCCAGTCAGTGGCTGCAGACGATTTTTATCCAAAACCAAATAAAACAAAAATAATGTTGTGCAATTAGTCCCAGCAGGTGGGCTTCATCTTAGGACCGCCCCTCACACCCTGAGCAGTCGGCGTGGGGGCGGTGGAGGTTACTTTGCTGAATTAAAGCTGACGTCAGCTGCGCCGAGACTGCTTGATTTAAAATCCGCGGTGGCATCGTCCAAAGGTTAAACTCCAAAAACTCCACCGTCGTCCCGACATTTATGGATCCAAAGCTCTTCACTCTGAGGGCGAACGCTGATCTTTGCCATGTGTGTCATGTGACCGCCACAGTTAGTCACAGTTATCCTGCCAAACTGAAGTCTGAAGATGCTCGAGGACTTTAACGACCTGCACAAAACCTGAAAGCTTTGCATTTACGATCAGCGTTTACACCAACGACATCAGCAGGTTCGACTCAGCGGTCGGCCGTCGGTCTCTGATCGGCTCTTTCACCGGCGCTCAGCAATTAACCGAGCAGCGATGATGAAGGCAAACACGAGCTGATGAAAGATTTGCTCACAATCAGGCTCCACCAAACAATTAATAAACATTTCAGCTGCAAATTGGACCACATGGGACGTTTTAGGATGCGAGTACTTTTCATCAGATGAATAATTTATCACTCGAATGAAACAATTTCCCTACTGGTTCCTCCATGTTCGTGTGTGTGTGTGTGTGTGTGTGTGTG